GCAGTAGGCAAAAAATTTTAATTTATAAAAAGAGTATTGCTAATCTTAACAGGCTGTGAAATTCATGGCCCTCATCTGCCAATTAAAATTGCAGAATTAGCATGATTTGCAATTTTTCTTTGTATAACAAAAACAAAGTTTTTTTATAAAAAAATCAAAAAATTACTTGTATTTAGCTTATAAAACTACTTTTTTTTATATAAAAAAAAAATTTTCTTGCTAAATTTTACTATAAAATCTGTTATTTATTATAACTCTAACCCTAACCCTAACTTAAATAGAAAACTTTTTTGAAACAGGAATGTGAATTTCATAGCCTGTAAATCAAAGTAATTTTCTTATAAAAATTATATATTTACTACTTTAATTCTTTAAAAAATTGCAAATTTTTATATCCACTGCTTCTTTTTGCTATAGGGATTTCAACTTAAATATATAAATAATATATAGTACTATATTAAATTTGAAATAAAAAAAATATAACAATACTAAAAAAATACAATAAATTCAAAGGATATCATATAATAATTATTTATTATAGTCAGACAACTCTAAATGCATAGCCAAGGGGCCCATAAAAAACTTTGCATTTACATTTAAAAAGATAAATATCTATAAGTAACATATGAGTTGAAATCAAGCCAAGCCATGTATTTAGAGAGGTTATGCACTTAGAAGGGTTGTATTTAGAGTATACAAATGCATTATTTTGTTATACTAAATTAATAAATTAAACGCATACAAAAAATTTTCTCTGATATGATCTTTATAATGTATATACGGATGCATCAAAAAAAGTAACATTTGGGAGCGAAGTGCATCAAAGACGTTTTATCACTTAAGCATAGAGGATCTTCCGTTAAGCTCCGAATCAATAATAAATAAAATAAATTTTTTTTTTAAATAGCAGTTATAAAAAAAGTAAACCTTTTAATGTTTTATACTAGTTACCAAATGTTGATATAAAGAAATTAATAATAAGTACAGTACAAACTTTATTTTTATATATATATATATAGTACATATTTCAACATAAATATGATAATCATACTGTGTTAACGTTAATTTTTAATAAAATTATTATCGTTATCTATAATCAACATCATAGATTCATTTATTCACGGGCTACAAGACCATTATTTCTTAAACCAAACAATTCTCATATAAAAATATGGTTAAAGGCTAAACAATTTAGGTTTTTTATTGCCAGTTTAACAAAAAGAAAATAAGCTCCGCAAAAATCTGGTTCATTACGATAATAAGCAGGTTCGGAAAAGAATGACTGTATTGTTTAATAATATAATATATATAGTATACAAAACAGATATTTTTTATGTTACGTTGAGTTGGAATTTTACATCAAGAGCTCCTTATATCGAAAGATTCTTATACGTACTGAGAATTAATTTATATAAATATATATATTAAGTACATACTGTATATACTATATATATATTATAATACAGTATGTGTATGCAAAGAAACAGGTAATAACTTGCTTTACAATGTAAGAATTCTCAAGTTTATTTAAGCGTTCTCATGCATATGCAGTACAAAAATACGGATGCAAGTTTTTTTTTTTTTTTAAAGTATTATATAACTATAATACAGTAGTACGAAAAAACCTTTTTTAATTGAATAACATTTAACTCAGAGTTTCGATCAAATAAGTACATATTATCATTCGGTAATATGAAAAAAAAAATCAATTTAGTGGAGGTAAATCAAATACAATCGGATTGTTTTGGGGTTTATATCTTCGAGTTACTGATGACGCATTAATAAAGATAGTCGACTTTATATCATCATTATTTTTCGTTTCCCATTTCTTTTCCAAGACACCATAACCCTCATGAATATGACCAAACACATGAATTAGAGGTTTTATTTCTTGAATTCGTTGCAAAAGATCTACACATCCAGCATTTTCTCCACTTGCAACGAGATCCAAAATTCCAGAAGGCGGTCCGTGTGTCATAAGAATATGCGTAGTAGGTGGTATTTTTGACCACTTTTCTTGAAGGGATTAAACCATTTTTTTTTTTTTATCTTTGAACAATATAATATAAATTTTTATGTAACATTTTGCGTATATCCTTACCATTAAAGAATGATCCACGATCTCCATTGAAAGCCCAGTCATAAAATCTTGGAGTATATGGACTCCCATATATTTGATACCCGTTTTCGGGAATTGTAAAAGACTCATCTTCCAAATACACAATGCCATGACCTGCATTTCTTACCATGTTAATAGCTTCATCAGCGTCTTCCTTATCATGATGAAATCTATTCCAAGACTCTTCGTAAAAGGGTTTGTCTAGGCTTTAAAGCATTTTGTATTAAGATTTGGTGCGAACAAGATGAAAGCACGAGATAGAAAGAAGTTAACAGCAATTTACGTTGTATCATGGTTTCCAGCAATAACAATTTTATATCTAAAAAAAAACTTGTTAATTTTCCTTACGTTCATTTTTTTGTTAAAAGTTTACATTTTGAAACATGCAATTTACTTGTGCGGAAGACTTTTGATCCAGTCAACAGCAGTTTTTATTTGATCCAATTTACCAACTTCGGTTAAATCCCCTGAATGAACTTAAAATTAATAGATGATGAAAAAATTAAATTAATTAATCAATTTTAAAGAATTAAATAAAATTTTGTTCAAAAGAATTATTTATACACACTTAGAACATCCCCTTCAGGAACATTATAGGTCTTAAGGCTAACTTTGTTATGGGTATCACTAACGCAAACAAACCGCGTCCAGTCTGGCGCTGGTTTGTCAGGAATTTTCGATGAAATATATAAATGTTCTGGTAGGTTTTTTTGAGACATAGTAGTAAAAAATCGTTGTATAATGAAGCAAAATTTCTCCATTAAAGGATTAATTTTGATTGGTTAATGATATTATACAGAAAGACTTATTTATCTTAAAGTCGACTAATTTAGTTGACCAAGTCGGTTAACACCGTTAAACACTACATTGTAGATCTTCGACTTGGGTAATGTAACACTGATCGACGATAATTCGATAAAAAGAACTCTGTATTCTTTTTACTAATTATGAATATTGATACCGATACAAATTAACGTTAATAAAATATAGTACAACATTAATCCATGATGGGTTTTGGAAACCTGTCATAATAATAGCCAATAACAATGTTTGTGTAGCAATGATGTTTGATGGAAGGTAATTAAGAAACAAAGATTTATTTATTCCATTGAATTAGTTTAACAGACAGCAAACATCAACGGAAATTTTTATCAAATTCATAAATGAATTGGTTAAGGGAGAAAAAAAAAACCACCAAAATACTAACTATTCACTAAGTATATACATTTCTCATAATTAATCCGCATTTTATATCAATTATTATAAAATAATATTTAAAGTATAGTTGTATGAACGAATTTCAAAGAATTCATATGCGGACAGATGTATATAAATATATTTTTTTAAAATCCTGATAATTACCGTTACAAAAGCAAGATGTGCAATAATTTCGTCCATTAAATAATAAAAAAGTTTAGACCAATGCGTTATGATAAAAATGAGTAATCTTTAAAATTGACCACAATGCCATATACAAAATAACACATGCTCACTTTTAACAGTAAAAAAAAAAAAAAAGGTATTAAATTAATAACGAAACGATAAATAAATAGATATATATATATAAAAATAATAAAATAATAATGTTAAAATAGTCGGATAAATACCGTAGCTTTCGATGATGAACCAGCCTCATCTGGTAAAAGTAAATTCGATAGAGACATAGCACTGGGACGATTCGCTGTAACATCCAAGATACCCGTTGAATTGGCATCGACGAAGTATCCACTATTTCGATCCTGGTTAGCTAGCAACACTAATTGTGCAGCAGCATAAACAACTTCTGGATCAACTTTTGCCTGTTCCAAGGCACTTTCTACTAAAGCCTTAATATCAAGAACCGTAACCTCCGACCTATCTGTTTGATAAGTATAACTAGATGCATCATTTTTATCGAACCCAAGTGGTTGTGGGTCTTGTTTTATTTGTTTTTGCAATGGTGGCAGCTGTTGCTGCAAAGACGGTGCTGGTGAATGTTCTTGAAAAGCTGTCTTTGAGGCCGTCGTTAAAGTTGTCGAGGCCGTTGTCGAAGCTTTCACGGAATATGTTGATAAAGGGAGTCGACTTGTGGATTCACTACCGCTTCTTTCGTTAACGGTCTCCATTGTGAATATAAAAGTTCTTATATTATTTCTTTTCGAATAGTTATGAAAAGAAAGCAGTTCTGAATTTTTTTTTTTTTAATTTATTATTATTATTATTATTTATTGTTTTATCGTTAAAACTGCTTAATTGAAGACCGTGGGCCAAATTAATGAGCAAAATGAACCAGTGCTAAAGAGTTTCTGAAAGAATCGTCACTATATATATATATATATATATATATGATGCTGATTCAATTTCATACGTATGATAAATCTCTAACTGCCAGGGCAGTGCAATGCTGCAATGAATTTACGTTGATCAATTAATCACGTGCATGATACACGACCTTGGTAATTCATCTGATTATTGTTTCAACACATGGAAAAAGTTATTGCAGTGCATCAACGCCGATTTCCAAATTTCAACATTCTGGCTTTATCTCAGTTGATTTTCATTGCTACAGGTTGTAAACAAGTTTGAGCTCGTAAAACCTGTATTTTCATTAGAAGTATATAATCTGAAGATTCGTGTGATACGTACATATGCGTTAGTCTAAGATCATGTGACTTTACGACCTTTGACGTATAAAGGTCAAAAATGGAATAATTTAAATAAAGTAAATGTTAGAATTAAGGTTAGGATAGGACAGGGGCTGGGCTTAGTTCTGTAGCTGCTTTAGTTTATACCAAAAATTTGGGTTACCTAGATACATGCACCAGATTATGTAATTTGTAGGTGTTTGGTCGGTGTACCTTGATTTTTGCTGAGGTTATGACGTTAAGAAAAAAAATATGATTGCTGACGGTGGGGTTCGAACCCACGCATGCTTACGCATACCAGAACTTAAGTCTGGCTCCTTAGACCGCTCGGACACATCAGCTGCCAATATCAGGAGGCATTTTTATAAATATTTGAATATATGCTTTACATAATCTTAATAATTATTTAAAACTACGTATAGTAATTAAAGAGAAATACAAAAGGAAATATCATCTACATTATGTGTATATATATATATATATGTATATATATGTATTTTTTTTTTTTTTTTAATAGATAAATAAATCAAATATTTACAAATAACAGACTTGAATAAATGTTCTTAGAATAAATATAAAAATATATACTATAATATTGTACTATATAATATACAAAATTCTTCACTACAATATAAGAACTACCAATCCAATAAACCACTGTCTGAAATTTCTTTCCAACTTTGAACTCGAAAAAGTTTATAGTGTCGCTTCTTTGTAGTAATTAAGTCATTTGTGTCAATCTTTCCAACTAATCCTTCAACGATTTCGATCCCGAATTTTGCGCAATATTTTGAAAGCGTATTATTGTTTCCCATGATAATCCCTATATTAGCTTCCACTTAAATAAAATAAAATAAATATACGAAATATGTATGTATAATATACATATATTATATATATATATATATAAATGATGATGCTTACATAGACACGGTAAATCTGTATCGGAATCTCCAATGTATGCTGAAATTGTTCCTCGTGGAATCTCCAATTTACTAAAGATTGATAACTTATCAAGTGCTGAAAGTACGTGATGTTTTACTTTTCCAGTTGTACGATCGGTATCATCAAAAACAAGGTCGTTTGACAAAATATGTTCTCTTTTAACTCCTACCAGATCCTTCAAACTTCCCAATAGCATATCACGCGACCAATTTGTAGAAAGAATATAAAAATATCGAGAAACGTTACCATTCGTACATTTTGGTAGATAATTTTTCAAAACATCTGTTACACCATCTCGCTTCGGTATTCTTTCCCCCCTTTCAAATAGCTCATCACAACGTATTCCATTTAAACATTGGTATTTTTCGACACGATTCAATGATTTCTTTTCGACTTCTCTTAGTGATTCTAACAATTTATAGTGATCTTGAAGCGTTCTTTCTGGTTGTTTTTCGCACCAGAATTTAATATGTTCCTTACGCTCTCTGAAATATTTTTCGACAAAATAAGACCAAGGTGGAGGACAACCACCAGCATCATTATCGTTTGGCGCGAGCTTCTCGTCCACTAAAGGGCATTTCCCTTGTCTTTCTCTCTTATCATATGCAAGTTTGGCTATTTCACAAATAGAGTCATGTTGAGTTATTGTTTCGTCAAAGTCACTAACTAGGAGACCAACGGGGTAGTGCATTATGACTATTTATCAACCAAATAACAGAATTAAAGAATGGGAAGAATGGGAAATTCTTTTATAAAAACACGACGCCAACTACCAATCAGGCAATTTATTTACATTTGTGTGATCATTACGTTAAAATTTTACTCTCTCGTCTCACGATCTTATTTCAACATCCAATCACAATAATGTCCTGTTTGCATCAGAATACAGTTAACTCACACACATGTCGTAGGTGGGAATGGAATTTAAGTGGATTTGGTTAAATTAGGGTTAGGGTTAGGTGTGTACATATGATAAAATTAACCTCAAAAATGGGGTTATATAAATTCCAAATCCACTTAAAATTCCGCAACACACATACTATTTTTGACTTTCTATAGTACCATGGTAGGGACGATGAAATGCAGAATGCCGCAGAATTCACGGATTGAGGCAGAAGTCGGATTTTATACGGAATTTATACTAGAATTTCAAAACACTATCGGGAAGTTTCAGTACATTAACAATTGGGGGGTTTTTTTTGCGCAGAATTAGAAATTTTTTGTGCAGAAATTCACAGAATTGGAAATTTTTTTGTGCATAAATATAAATTTTATTGTTGCAGAGTTATTGGGGTTTAGTTGTCGCAGAAAATCATCGTTCGTGCACAGGTATCACATTAGGACTCTGTCTCAAGTCGGATTTTTAATCCCATATTCCACGGTCCCTAATGTTCTCCTGGATATTTTTATGATGATGTAATACCGTGAAGATATCAAAAATTTTTACACGGTATGACATCATCATTAAAAATTTAATAAGAAACGTTATGGGCATAGGACCGTGAAATATATCAGATATTACACGTGCGCCGTGAACATCATGTGTTACCACGGCTTCGCCGTGCTAACTCATGATATTCACAACAGCCCGTGTAATATCTATTACATATGCATATATAAGATAGCTATGATATATTACTTCTAATTTTCTAATTTTACAACTTAAATATAACTTACTCAGGCACCTATCTGCAACTTGCAAAGTAGATTTTATCTTACTATTACCTTGGTTAAATAATAGATCACCAGCTAAGATCTATAGCTTATTATAATCACTTCTTTTTTTAAAACTTTTTCTATCTAGATTTCAGCAAATTAGTTTGATAACCAATATTTGCAAAAACAAATCTAACAAAAATCTACAATAGTAGTATAAAAAAGAAGATACAAAAGAAATAAAAAAAAAGGTTAAGAAAAAATAAAAAAAGCTATACAATTTAAGTAACTAACCAAAAAAAAAAAAGAACAAGACAAAAAAAGCAAATAAAAAGACTATTGTCTAACTATACATGAGGACGAAATTATTTCAGGTACTAAAACCCAAATTAAAATTTGAAGACAAAATTGTTTTGACCTATTTTACTTGAAAGACAAAATTATTTGATACTTTTTTTGAATAGACGAAATTATAAGGAACATATCTATATAAATTTTATTTGCTCTTCCTTATAAAAAATTTTAATTTTCTCTAATGAAGACGAAATAGGCCTTTTTCAAAAATCAATTTCGGTGCCATCACTGTATCTGACATATATATACAGTATTAGAAAAAATTAAATAGAAAAAAAGAAAAAAAAAAGAACTAAAATATATTAAAAAATTTCACTAAAAAATTTTACTAATGGTTTTTTCAAAATACTTTATGAATTTGAATAGAGTAAATACTATTGATCTTTTGAAAGAGGTACATCAGCAAAAAAAAATATTCGTAAACCTCCGCAAGTTTTTACGTAAGCGTAAACTTGCAAAAAACTTACGATTAGTTCGGAGTATTACATAGAGGTAATAATTACGTAAGTTTACACTATAGTACATCAGTGAATTATGTATACATCATCTTACGTAAATTATTGCCGTAATATTTCAAAAATCTTATGATCGATGTGAAGTATTACAAAATAGATCAAATAAAAAAATGCCCTTTCTGGGGGTCGCAAGAGTAATATTTCACATATTTTGTAATGTTTTTGCAATATTTTACAATATTTTGCAAATTTTCACAAATTTTCGCAAATTTTCAAAATTTTTTAAAAAATAAATAAACGATATATATTTATATAATTATACTTTTTACAGGTTTTTGCAATATTTCGAAAGGTTTCGCAATTTAATATAAAATTTTATATTTTTTATTTACTCTTATTATACATTATATTTTATATTTATTAAATTTATATTTTTAATTAATATTATATTATTATATTATTATTTTGAGAGTTATCATTTATCGCCAGTGTGATGCATTACCACTCCGATCGACCAATCAGGATGCAGGGTCAGGTGTAACGTAAAATTGAAGCAAAACAAACTTTTTTTAAAAAATCACTTCTAACTTAAAATTTTGACTAAGAAACTACACTTTTTTTTTAACAAAAAAAATTCCTTGCGAAAGTTTGAGTTAGAAGGCCTTCTAACTCATGCCCTGCCAAACCTTAACCCTAATTATAATGCAGGCACTATTTGTTTTGTTTTGATTAATGTAAAATCAAAACAAACAAAATGATTGGTCAATCAGAGGTAGTGATGAATCGCACTAGCGATAAATATTAAAAATCTATTATTTTTATATTATTAAACTACTTTCGCACTTTATCGCATCTAATTCTATTACTATATACAAAAAACTAGCCCTATGCACTTATTTTCGCTCACCCCACAGTTAGCTGTTATCTTTGCCTTTTTGTTTTCTATCATTTTTGAAAGTGTCAAAAGTCGTAGTTGGTATGCGCAAGGTTTCAAAAAGTTGTTGTTTTTCTCGCAAAGTGCCGAAATAAAATAAATTAATAAAAAAAATTTAAAAATAAACCAAAAAAAACAAAACAAAAACACGAAACAAAAAAAAAATAAAGCGAAACCTTGCAAAAACTTGCAAAAACTTGCAAAAATTAGCAAAAACTTGTGCTCAATTCTTTAAAGAAGCATTTTTGAAAATTTAGAAATGGCTAGGGGTGTGTTCTTGAAAGTGTCAGAAGTCGTAATTGGCATGTGCAATGTTTCGAAAGTTTAGTTTTTCTCCCAAAGTGCTGAAATAAAATAAATTAATAAAAAAATTTTAAAAATAAACCAAAACAAAAACAAAAAGCACAAAACGAAAAAATAAATAAAATGAAACTTTGCAAGAACTTGCAAAAACTTGCAAAAACTTGTGAAAACTTGCAAAAACTTGCACCTATTTCTCTAAAGAAGTGTTTTTGAAAATTTAGAAATTGCTGGTATGTGTTCTTGAAAGTGTTGAAAATCGTAGTTAGCATGTGCAAGGTTTCGAAAAGTTGCTATTTTTCTTGCAAAGTACCGAAATAAAATAAATTAATAAAAAATTTTAAAAATAAACTAAAAAAACAAAAACAAAAAATACGAAACGAAAAAATAAATGAAGCAAAACCTTGCAAAAACTTGCAAAAACTTGTGCCTATTTATCTAAAAAAGTGTTCTTGAAAATTTAGAAATTGCTGGAGGTGTGTTCTTGAAAGTATCGAAAGTCGTAGTTGGCATGCGCAAGGTTTCGAAAAGTTAGTTGTTTTTCTTGTAAAGTGCTGAAATAAAAATAAAATAAAATAATTAAAAAATAAATAAATAAAAAAAATTGAAAAAAACAAACGAAACAAAAAAAATGAACGAAAACAAAAATAAAAAACAAAAAGTGAAAAAACAAAATAGAAGATTAATTATAACAAAA